CTGCGCTGCGCACAAAAAAGCTCAACCAGGATTGAAATTAAAGTAAATACGTAACATTCTGTGTTGTTTTGCAGTGTGAGTCAGTGACCGGTGACTTATAATGCGATTCACATTAGTATTATGCAGCTAATCAACGTCGCTGACAGGCTGTGACTGCGTCCTTATGTGCCGCCACCAGTGTTTTAGCGGCGTGGCCGATGTGGAGTGAAGACACACTAATGACAACGTGTACAACCAGTGGAGATGTGAGCAGCAATTTACGGGAAAAGTGTGGACTTCAAACTATATACCAGTTTTTATAAAACGAGAGTTATTGTTCATTATGTTTTTTATTATGTTTTCTTCCTGAATAGTGTCGTTGTTGTTTTTACCAGGGGAAAACATGGTAAAAACTGCGTTTTCTAAGGAAAGCGCTCGAAAGCATTCTGCCTGTGAGTTAAAAAAAACACCCTTTCCTATTGGTGGAAAAATATCCCATGTCAACCAATAAAAAAATGACATGGCAACGCGGCATTTGGTTGTTTAGGAAGAGCGAAAGAGAGAAAGAGTTTTGAGATGTTAGAGATTTGTGAGGTTTAGCGTGTCTACAGTTAGTGTGTTGTGTAGTGGACAGTTTTGCTGTGTGTGTCAGAACAATGAGTGACTGCTGAATGTGCTGCCAGAAAGCTACTAAAGGCAGATTACAATGTAAATACTGTCTCCAGGTTAAAAACAGTGATACACCTGCTGCTGTCTGCAGGTATCAGGCTCCTCCGAGTGGCACAACTAATTTGTGTGGCATCCTCTTTGATGCAGAACAGCTGATTGTTCTGTAAATAGTTATTTTTAAAAACGCATTGACTGCATTTTTAGATAAATAGCTGCAAATAACTTTGTTGTTTGCAAAATTCAGTTACTTTTTTTTAACTAGTAACTATAATTAATTACTTTTTCAAAATGGCTTGCCCAACATTGGTCATTATATACTGTATTTTGCAGACAAAGAGTTACAGGACTCTCCTCCAGACCACAGCAGGAACTTCACGCAGAGCTTTATAAAAAAAATGTTAAGTTGTGTTTTCAAAATTGGAATTCAGCTTATTTTACTTCCAGTAGCCAACATGCTACAGATCATGAACAAGATTTTTTTTCATTGTTAAGTGAGTTATAGCACTTAATTAAAAGTATTATAACAGAAATGTAAACGCTGTAATTTGATTATTTTAGTAAACATGTAACTTGGATGGATTTGATGCTGGCGTGACCGCAGTGCACACATCTGCTGTTGCTCACAGTGGTCCAACAGACCGCTCAGGGAGTTTTTGCTCTGACACATGAGGAATTAGAGGGAACCTTGCACATGAATGTCTGTTCTGTGTTTTTCTTATAACTGTTTGTTGCAAACCAGAGAGAACAGAAACAAAATGAACAGACAGACAAGAGTAATAAACCATGAGCAGCAAACTGTGAGCACTGAAGCGTGAAGACCTGTTCTAACTGATCAGATTTCCAAATCTGCTGTTGATACCGTCAGAAAGCCTGGAGACGTATTGCTCAGGACCGCTGTAAAAATAGCGAGGTGGTCTGGCTTCCTGGAAGCAAAATATAAAGAAGCGGGGACTGGCCATGGTTGACCAGAATCTGAATGTAAGGCTTTCTACATGTGTTCCTCTCTTCCAGGCGGTGTTTGACTGCGTAGTGACGTCTCTGAAGAACGTCTTCAACATCTTAATCGTCTACAAGCTTTTTATGTTCATCTTTGCCGTCATCGCTGTTCA